CTTGTTTGGGGTCAAGTTATTTAGGCTATTAAAAAATGAATTCTTTCAGGCAGCTCTAATAAAAGCAGGATGCTACATTCACAAGCGCTGCTCAGTGCTAAAAGACTTTTGAAGGAATGCTATGTTCATAACTAACTTAGCTTCAGCAGTTTCAGACCTAGGATTTGATCTCAGCTTTCTGCTCAAAGTGCTGCAGTCAGTCTGTGTTTTGAAGCTGTTCCCTGTCTAAAATCTTAACCTCATTGGAGGAGGGTAAGAATAACTATCTTGGTAGTTGAGGTATTCCTTGGTTAATACAGGCATATAACATAGTATATTAATACTATAGATCTGATGTTTGCAAATCATCTAGCTGTCTTAGGTTTGTGAGTTGGCTACCCTCAATGACATGATGCTTCTTACAGGACGGGAGTAAGACAATCATTTTGCACCAAAAATATATTTGTTGGCTGCTGACCAACTTCTAAAATAAGTGGGACCTGGGCGGGGGGACGGGGAGGGCACTGTGCAATTTCATAGAGAAAAGATTTGTGGAAAAAAGCACCGAGTAATAAACTGTTAGATAAGATGCATACCAATTACTGTGTCGAAAACAGGAACACAAATGTCTTTTTTTCTTTTTTTTTTTTTTTAAAAAAAGAACTCACTTAAACTTGAAGGAGGAAAACAGTATTGGTGGGTCACATTGCTACCGTCTTGTTGCAGGCAAAGCAACTGGAGAGAGGATATAAGGAAAACGTTGTCTTGTCATTACTTTATACTCAGCCCCAGTACAATGTCTGTATTCTTATTTGCTTACTATGCCAAAATTCCTTGATTAAGTAGAGTAACTCTGGTGTATTTTTCGATAGTGCACATGCAAGTCTAAAAATGTAAAGGACACTCAAACCTCATGCCAGTTTAATTTCCACAATGTTATTTTCACTCTAAAAAAACCCAAACAAACCACCTTTCTTTCCCTTTCCTTTTCAGTCAATACCCAAACTCACCTTCCCAGGTGGATTATTAATTGGTTGCAGTCCTGGACTCATGAATGTTCCTAAGATCAAAGGGACACATACCGCAATGAAAAGCGGCATGTTGGCTTCAGAAGCCATCTTTAGCCAATTAATCAATGAAAATCTCCAATCAAAGACAATAGGTAAGATAACTGTACTTTGATTTGTAATTACCTTGTGTTCAATTGGAACCACCAACGGCTTAGCAGTAACTAAATGTGTCTGAAGGAATTAGTTGGGAATGCAAATACGTCATGAAATGAGTGTGGTGGTTTTAAAAAATATCTATTGTTTATTTACGATTTATACTGTTAAATGATTTAAGAAAGAAATAAATTAATGAAGTTTTGCTTAGATATTCTTAAGTATTGATCTTGCTGCTAGAACCAAAATATGCCTTTAACGAGTAAGTGAGCTTACACTTCCTGCATAAGTAAACAAGAATAGTATATATGTCATTCCTTCAAATACATTAAAAATTAGCACTTTATGATTCAAAAAGTGTTACTGAAAGACTACAGAATCAGAGAAAAAAAAGGAACAGATGAAATGTAAGCAAAACAGGGTGAGATTTTTCAAGTGTGCTCTTCACTGTTTTAATTGCTGGGATACTTTTTTCCTTCAATCCTCTTTTGCTGTCTTTAATTTTATAGTCTTCTCAGATTTAGACTATGTGTATTTCCTATTATATATAATGCAAGCACACTGAAGTAATCACCTGATCCTGACCACATTGTAGTGATTTACTTAAGCCTTGGTTGTTCCCTTAAATCTGTTAACAAATGCTGTACAGAGAGAGAACCCAATTAGAGTGTCAGTCATTCTGGAAGTGTACGCTATAGCCAGGTGCCACATGATGATTATTTTAGAAATCTTTTCTCTGTAGTGGTGGATTCAGTCCTGGTGAGCTCTCGTTCAGCTGAAACATGCAATACACCTTGCCACAGAGGGTATGCTGAACAATTAGAACTTCAACTAGTATAACAGGCTGAAATGCATAGAACCCATCTGAAGCAATAAACACTCTTATTGGGTAGTGTGCCACTCATTTGGTTATGGACAGGTTTTATAAGCCGTTTCCAGTTTTGTCAAGACAGTAGAATATTACAGCCCACTTTCTTCTCTGTGCATAGACAAAAGTTTTTTTCAGAACCTTATGTGAGACAGAAAATATAGACTGAAGCATGTTTTCATGGATAGACAAGGCTTAAAACGTATTATTTAGAACATCTATTCCTATACAGTAGTAACGGAGAATGGTGAAGGGGAAGCTCTCAGAAAATTGTCATTTGAAGAAACTTTTTTTTTTTTCCCTGAGATAATTACTTGGCTTTAACTACACTGCAGTAGATATGTCAAGTGTGCAATGTCTAGTATTTGTAAAGAATACAATCAAAGAGTTTAAATCAAAAGTTTGTAGTCTAATATATCTCATTAACTTGTTGATTACAAGGGCAGAAAAATTGTTCTCTAGCACTGGCATCATGCACTGGGCCATAGTCATAGTTACTGAAATCGGAATCTTTACAGTTGTCTAACTTGTAAAGGAAAAGCTGTTGAACTTGGCAGCGTTAAAATTACAAACCTGGCTCTTGGATTGCAGGTGAACTCTCCTGGTCAATTCTTAGATTCTATGAGGAAGTAGCTGTTTTCCCATAGAGATGCCAATGTAGCCACCTGGCCAGTTATCTTCATATTTTGCTGAGGTTTGAGGCAATTTAATGCTGCTTGTGGGTCATTTAGTAGAGGCTGCGAAGGAGCAGTAGGTATCTGCTGATAACTGCCAACAAAACAGATCTTGTCAAGAGGCTGAAGTATGTTGTCTAGTATATTCCTACCTTACTATTTTGAAATTCTTTTTGCTGCCTTTGTTGCTAACAATTGCCTTTATTCAGCGATTATTTTTTATTTCAAGGATAGTCTTTATGTACTTAGGTACCTAACAAGTAATGTACTGCCTTAGGACTTGATGTGCAAGAATATGAAGAGAACCTGAAAAAGTCCTGGGTCTGGAAAGAGCTGTATGCAGTTAGAAACATCCGACCATCCTGCCATAGCGTACTTGGTGTGTATGGAGGAATGATTTACACGGGTATATTTTATTGGATACTGAGAGGAATGGAACCATGGACATTAAAACATCCAGGTAATTTTGTTATCTCCTGAAAGAAGGTACTAAATGTGTATGTCAGTCTTTCCTGGTCTTAGTTGAAGCTAGAGTACATCTGGTCAAGTGGTGAGGCCTTAAAGTGTAGAAAAGAAATCAACAATAAGGCAGTGAAGCAGACTTTGTCATATTACCTAGTGTTTCATGTAAATGAAGACATTAAAACACTATTCTACTTAGCGTAGTTTTTTTTGTCTCATGAAAAAGGCTACCTTTTATGAAATACTTCATTCTGGTGACAAGGGAAGTTAAAATAGCTTAATTAAATTGTTCTCGAGTAACTGCAAATTACAGTAATTCCATACTGAAACTTATTTATTAAAAATATATTTAGGACCAGATTTTGCTCAGCTCAAGCCAGCCAAAGATTGCACGCCTATTGAATACCCAAAGCCTGATGGAAAAATCAGTTTTGATCTCCTGTCGTCTGTGGCTTTAAGTGGTACAAACCATGAACATGACCAGCCTGCTCATTTAACTCTCAAAGATGACAGCATCCCTGTGAGCAGGAATTTGGCTGTATTCGATGGACCGGAACAAAGATTTTGTCCAGCAGGTAGGTAATAAAAATGTGTATCTGAGCTGTTTTTGCAAGATAAAAGAAGACTAAGTACTTCAGGAAGAGTCCACCTGGCCTCTTACTTACTTCAAGCATTCTATCCCAATCCTCCTCCCAGAAGAGGGTTCAATGCAGGTCTTAAAAGATATTATGTTAACAGTACTGTCATGACAAAATAATTAGTAGACATGGAAGAAGGCAGTTGAATTCCACTAGTAATACACTTCCCTCATTGCGCTTGCTGGTAAGCAGTAGAGCATACACATGGGGAACCAGTTCAGTGAAGTGATAGCTCTCTTTTGGTCTTTGCAGGAGTTTATGAATATATTCCTCTGGAAACAGGAGAAGGATCAAGACTGCAGATAAATGCTCAGAACTGTGTCCACTGCAAAACATGTGATATTAAAGACCCAAGTCAGAACATTAACTGGGTAGTGCCTGAAGGTGGAGGAGGACCAGCTTATAATGGGATGTAAACCGACAGGAAATCTCTTCAGTGATTTCTGATCACCAATAAATAAGCTGGAGTATTTTATGCTGCATTGTAATTAAAGTACAGCACTGACTTGAATGTTAAAGAGTTTGAGGCTAACGTGCCATTCTGAATTTTAGGTATGACTGTTGCACTAAACGGAAAGTCGGTGCCTTCTGGTTAAACCCTAGCCTTATTTAAATAGAACTTCTTTACAGGAGTTGTGTGGCAGGGAGAAGAAAGTTCTTCTCAGGACTGACAAACCAACTTTGCATTGTGGATTTATTGCTGAAGTTCAGTGATAACAGGAGCCGTATCCAGAATCGTGGGTATGGTGGAAGAATTTAGTACCTACTCTTAAAAAGTATCTTCTCTCTCAATCTGGAGTGAATTTACTGTATGTAATCCTACCCTGCAGTAGGGAAAATACATCAGTCTAGAAAATTGTCACCACTTTTAAGTGTTACACATTTTACATCAAATCTACAGTTAATTTTTTTTCCCTGATGATAATAGGGAGCCCATCTGCAATACAACCTGTAAAGCAGTTTAAAAAAAAAAAGTGTAATACTTGCACCTTCATTGTATGTCTACCAGCATTTTTATTCCTTACAAGAAATCAGGCCTGCTCTAATAAAAACTCTGATACAAACTGCCTAAATTGTCTTAGTGTTAAACTGAGCTTCTTAGGAAGCACTAACTATTAAGCTGCAAAAACACAACCACTACTGATTTACATGTTAGAAACACACCTGAGTCACAAAACACAAGTTATTGCAGCTTAAAAAAAGAAAAAACACCTCACCTTTGAACAGTTTGTCTTTATTATTAGATTTTTGAGTTGTAAACACCGAAAACTGCAGTACAGGGCAAATGAAAGAAGCAGCTCCATTTATCCTTTTGCATGAGTTCGTGCATAGATTTAAAAGTTTAGAAAAAAATCAAGCAAACATTTTAGCATAAGCTGCCTTCTCTTTCTCCTTTTGGGCTTTTATCTTCTGTTTGATTCTGAGTGTTTCCGTCTGGATAGCTGCTTAAAAAGAAAATCCATGATACTGTTATAGTAATCTCTTTACATTAGGTCTCATATGTCAAGACCAGGTCACACTGCTGCAAATTACCCATATTATTTTGTATAACAGAACGGCATTTAATCTTCTATTAGGTGAGATACTAGCAGCAAAAAACCCTTGTCCCTTACCTTGTTTCACCTGGTAAGGTAACCAGGTAGAGGAGGGTATAGCAAGCATAGTGTTGGTGCCAACACAGAATTTATGAGCTAAAAATTTATGCAATTAGACCAGGATATTAAGAAAGTTAATAAGGCCCCTGTGAGAGAGGAAGATGTTTCAAGAGGCGTGCTGTTGACCTACGTAAGCAGGTTACCCAGTGCACCAGAAACATCACTGCTGTATAAAAACAGGTTTTCCACCTTACTGGGCTCTGTGCTCAATACCTCAGCATTTAAGCTGTTAGAAGCCAGCATTTTGGGCATCACACTGGTATGATTTCCTACTAAATACTACCCTGGTTACATTGTTACATTCTTAAAAAAATGTAAAGGATCTATAAACAAACAGTTTTATTTTACCTTTGTCTTCCGGGGCTATTTCATGAGCCTTTTTAAGATCAGCCTTAAATAAAAGAGAAATATAAATCAATGTTCTGATGAAATGTCTAGATTTTAAAAAAAAAAATTAAATATTGTGATCCTTACCAATGCCTGATCGAGATCTTTTATTCCCTGCCATCCTTGAGCCCGTCTGTAGAGAGCTTTAGTATTTGCCGGATCTATTTTAAGAGCCTGTAAATTTAATAAAATTGTCACATTAACATTTCATACACTTCACAGCCTCCCATCTCCACAAATGGCACAGTTCACACCAGCAGACAATCTCCCAAGTTGGTTTGAGGGTAAGCTGTCAAAACATTAACTGTGTAAAAAGGAATGGTATATTGTAGCACACTGAATAGCTAGCTAATCAGTTTTAATACCACTGCACCAGAAGTGGTCTTTTGTGCAGCACAAGCATACATGGGGATAAAATGGAACCTCTGTGTGTATATATATATATATATATATATATATATATATATACACACACATGCCTCTGTCAAGGCAAAGGTGTCGCTGCAGGTCAAGTTATCCTAACCTTGAGTCTCACAGTATAACTCCCTGTATTGCAGCGCCTTCCTTCACACCAAAAATACCTCAAATGCCATCATAAAGAAAACATGCAGATTTCCTGTAAAGCTTTTTGCACTGTAGGCTAGAAAGATACATACAAGCGATACATCTCATGCTTCAGGCATCTTGCCAAGCTCCAGCCATTAAGCCTTTTTTTGAGCTGAATGGTTTCACTAATGTGTATATGCCAGCTCTAATATGATAATATCAAAATAAGAAATACAGTGGCTGGGCAAAGAGGTTGTTCCACTGTTTGATTACTTACATTATTTTTTAAAAATACCTCAGTTAATTTGGCTAGCTAGGTGTTTTGTTTTCTTGCCTGTGAAGATTGCATTCTTTTTTCTTATTGCCGATAGTTCCATAGTGTTGTCTTTATTATTATTTCAAAGAATATAGTTTCTTAGTGATTAGAGGAAATCTCTTTGCATGAATGTGTGGCTTTATTAATTTCATGTATTAATTTTAATTCATTAATTAAGAATTACAGACATTAGAGGATGCATCCAGATTTTTTTAAATCACTTCAGTATTGGCTGTTCATATAGCGTAAGTATTCCTCTGGGTGCTCATCCTGATCTGTCTCTATAAAGCCCAAAGCCTCTTCTGTGTCAAGAATTAGAAAATTAGGCGTCTCTACTGTGTACACGTAAGTAGCATTCCTTGGTTTTAGCTCAACCATTGTGCTTACAGCTATTTTAAAGCAAGGTTTGTTTGAACAGGTTCAGCCATTCGTAATTCCTTATTTACACCAAATAATGCATGCATTACAGATTGTTAATTTAAAATGCTTTTGGCTTTAGGAAATCATAAAAGTGAAAGTGTATAGTTTCTCATTAACAATTACCTTGAACTCTACTAGTTAATCTTAGGAAACTGGTGTTCTGCTTAAAACACTGATACGCTGTTTAACATTTGTGATGAGGTGTAAGCTAAAGACATTACAGAAGTCTATTACAGCTATGGAATTGCCTTTATCTAACAATTCTGTAATCTTAAAAAAAAAAAAAGGAAGTTTTTTTTTCTCAATGGCAAGTATTATGATTAATAATTTCTATTCATAACACTTAAATGCTGTTTCAATTTTTACCATTTTTCTAGATGACAGATATCGCATTACAGAGTTTTCTTATTTTTTTTCTTTCCCCATCCCCCATTTGTCCATTCTGAAGACAGGTTTTTGAAAGTTTTCCATGTGGTAACGCCGTCAGCAAGCTAGAAGGCAAGCCGGCTCTCTAAAGACCCCTCGCCCACAGATTAGCCGAGACTCCTGCTTTCAGCATGAAGCCCTAGGAGATGCTGCTCAGGATCCTCTGCTAACAGGTAAGAGCATTCTTTACTCTGTTTCCTTCAAAATTTTGGAGTTTTACTGAATTATTTAAAGTTTCCTCAAATGTACTAAATTCTGTCAGTATGTCTATGTCACTGTTCTTTTTTTTTTCTTTCATTCTACTATTTTTCAATATTTCCATATTTATTATTTCCTTCCTTCTTTCTTCCTATTCACTGGTTTCATTTCTCCACTAAGCCCACCTGAAAGGGCTTTAGTTAGAAAAGTCACTTCAATTAATAAAATTCAAGACCATCAAATCTAAAAGCAAGTAAAATGATTTGCTCATACTAGTCTTCCAGAGAAAAGTATTCCTCTATCACTGAAGACAGTTTAACTCTTTGTAATTTAAAAATTAGCTCTGCTCTTAGGAAACAAAACTGACAATGACAGTGTGTGGTTTTTTCTGGCAGTAAGCAACAACCCTCTTTTGTTTGTTTCTAATCAGTCATTTCAATTTCAAAATCTTTTAAAAAAGCCACATACTGGAAAGTTAGTAATAACTTCACAATCAGCCTTCTACTTTGTTTACTTTCAAACCATCAGCTTGTCAGAAGACTTTTATAGCTCTGTAGTTTCAGTCTCCATTTTCTATATAGGCCAATTGTTAATCAAAATACTAAACATTAAATTTACCTCTGAACAACTTTCGATGGCTCCCTGCCAATCCGACAGTTTTAGTTTACAAGCGCCAATGTTTAAAATGCAGGTCAAAGCAACAGCCTTTAACTTTGGTTTGTCTGCCTCCTCTGCCGCTGCTTCAGAAGCTTCTACATACCTGCAGAAAAACAGATTTACAAAGAGCAAGTATTAGTGTTGCAACTTTCATTTTGTTCTGCCCTTAGCCATCTTTCCACAGAGAGGCGTGAACTAGCCTCTCCAAATTGTTATTTTTAAAGCAGCTTCAATTCCACTATTACAAATATTTATTAAACTAAATATGTAAGACCTACCCTGACAAAAAAAGATTAACTCACTGGCGAATGTTTTCCTGTAACTCCTATCCCTCCACTGTACTAACAGCATTCTTTTTCTTAGACAAATGCACTATTCTAGATGGCATGAAACCATTAGAATTTATCGCAATGACTGTTTATTCTCAAAAAACATGTTGCTCATCAGTGGCAAAATGTCAACACCACCACTGCACCTTCCACGTTCACAGGAAGCTTCATCTCTCCTTCAGTTCCCTGAGTAATATTTTAATTAGTTTAGGCATTTATGGCTAAAATCTGAAGCTAACTTTACTTTGTAAAGGAGGGTTGGTTATGAGCATTAGTAACTCCACCTTCTTTCCACTGTCTTCCTTCACAACTTTTTTCCTGAACTTCAAAACTGACGCTGGTTCAGGACTGAGCCACATCATTTACTGCATCTCTGTTTCATAGGCAAACTGACAGGCAAACTGTATCTCATTCTTCTTAATTTACAATGTGCTAATGCTGTCAGATTTTTTTATTTCAAGTGACAAAGGTCTGTTGTGGATATAAAAGTTCTAACTCTTTTAACGGCCTACTTGATAGAATTTCTGTGGTTTTTATTTAAAACATAAAAATCATGTGTTTGCATACATTCACATTTTAAGCATGCCTTGATTAATGCAGTCTTTGCAGCTCAGTGCCTACGTAAGTTCAACTTTTGCATGCCTTATCTTTTGAGTGTTGCGTGGTTTGTATACAACTTTGGACCACAGGAATAAGCAATACTTAAAAAGTAAATTAGACACAGTCCCAGTGATTTTTGCCCTTGCTGGGCATCATGCAAAAGATGAGAACCAGAAAAGAGAGAAAAGGGTAAAAGCTAAGGAGAGTTATAATACAAAACTGTGTTATGTTCAAAACCAGAATAGAATATTTATAAATCACACTGAAACACGAAAGACTGCAACGACTCTGGGAACAAAATTAAAGCTTCCAAGTCAAAGAAATCAGTAAGATGAACATCAAGGGAGACAATAGGAAGTAATACTTTTTTGACAAAAATGTCAATTCTGCCACATGGTTTGCTAGGTGAGTTGTACATAAGACATGGGAGAAAAGAGCTATTCTATTCCTATCAGTTCTGGTGAAGTGCCAGCTAAAGTACACCATCCTATGGAAAGTATTAGATTTTAAGATACAACAACAGGGCATATCCACAAAAGTATAGCCTATAAAGAAGAGCTAGAATGATCAGATTTGTTTAGTCTAGAAAAGTTACTATCCTTTCCATCCACAAGGACAAATAAGCACCAAATAGAAGCTGTCTACTCAAACTGGAAGAGCCATCATTGGGTGTGCTTAAGAATGAACAAGGCAACTAATTGTAAGGGATGGCATAATTATAACTGGTATTTACCCAAGAATGCAGGGAGGAAATGGACAGATACAACACAAAGTTCCTTAAAGATCCATTTGAGCCTTTTTTCTGTATGATTTCTAAAAGGTTTACATAGAAATCCTATTTACTTTGGGGTTTCTGTTGGTCTGTGATGGACTTTTTGAGGGCAGGGGGAGACGTTGCATCTTGGGTTACTATCTGTAATTACAGGATTCATTTTTATGCTTCAGAAAGACATCTGTTGTTTGAAACCCAGTCAGTTAACAACCTCAGCTGAAACATTAAATATGCCTGAATTCTTCTTCTTTCATTATTGTTACTGCTAGTTAACTGGTGATCATTAAGAAGGTAAGGATAAAGGTCAATATAACTTCAAAAAAGAAAAAAAGTTTTTAGGAGAACCTCATATACATAAAACAAAAAGCATGAAAAGAAGAAAAGAGCAGTATGGAAACAAAAGCAGAAAGACCATGATTTTGAAGGGAAGTCTGAATTATACATGGAGTCAGGATGATGGTATGGAGCCTCAGAAAAATTAATAACGAATTAATAAGGGTCACATTTGGGGGTACTCTCTCTTGAACTTACCCATTTCCTAAACCTACTGTTTTTTAAAAATCAGAGAAGTATCTCCCTCCTTTCCTGTCCATTAACTACCCTGTGTATACTATTGTGCTCTTCTTCCCAGTTATGCACCAGCACAGCAAGAGTACTAAAAAAGGAGCTTTTTGTCCTTTCTAAACAATACTTCCTGCCTATAGCTCTTACTTAGCAATGAGTAGAAGACCTACTTGAATAAGTAGCTAAAAATCAACTAGATGTTTTCCAGATTCAGAAGGCTCTCTTAAAAAAAAAAAAAAAAAAAAAAAAAAAAAAAAAA